GATGGATGGATGGATGGATGGATGGATGGATGGATGGATGGATGGATATAAATATGGATGGGTGGACAGACGGAGGGATTAACTGGTAAATGGATGATTGATGGATAGAAGGACTGATGGGTGAATAACTGATGGATAGATAGACAGATAAATATAGACGAGTGGATGAGAGAATGATAGGTGGATGAATGGATGGATGGACGGATGGGCGGATGGACAGATGATGAACTAATAGATGGGGTAGATGAATAAGCATACAGATAAATGGGTGGATAAATGGATATATATACATACATACATATGTATGTATATATATGTATATATATATATATATATATGGTAGACGATGGGCAGATGAAGGGAGAGAGGACTAAAAGGACAGATGATGGAGGTGGATGAACGAGTGGGTGAAGGAATAAGTAGATGGACAAATGAGATGCCCCAGTGGTCTGGACAACTCCAGGCACCGAGGGCAGTGAGGTCTGAGATGAGCAGAGGCAGCAAATAAAGCTGATCCTTGACAACCCAGATGGTTAACTCTGGAGCGAGGCTTCCAATGTGACTCTCCAGTTCCACCCCGGGTGGTCCAAGAGTAAGCAGTAATTGTTTTTAACAATATCCATGGTAACTTCATGTGTGGAAATGTGCTTTCATCAGCATCAGCATCAACAGCACTCCAGCCTTACTCATCATACCAAGCGCTCAAAGACTCACTCAACAGCCACGACAGTGAACGTTCTCCATACACTAGTTCATTGGAATCTTACAGCAGTAAGAAGTAGCTATTATTGTCTTGATATGAACTGACATGCCCTGGACAAACCCCTAAGCCACTGTACCATAGATAGTCTCTCATCTATTCTAAAGCCTGAAGCTCTTGGGAGACGTCAAACCAAGGCTTACCTTTAGGATGCAATCATTAGCAGGCTTTCAAGAGTGTTAGACACAAGTGAATTTCTTCCAGACAAATCTAAGGAGTCAGTCTTCTTTCCCACCATATTGCCTGACTGCCCAAGGATAATACCACCCTTCCCCCAAGTTACTGCAGTGACAACAGTTAGTACAGAAGAATGGACATCCCACGTGAGATACTGGAAAAGCTCCATACAGACACTCTCTGGATTCACCTGGCATTTTGTGAACCCAAGTCAAGCTCCCAACAGTTAACATCTTTGCCAGGAGACTGCCCTAGGGCTCCCAGCATTGGAAGATTGAATAGAACATCCCACCCACCATTCAGAGGTTAGAGTATGTTTCTTCCCTCTAAAGCTCTCCATAGGATGTTAGCACACCTAGGCACAGGTCAGAACAAGAGCCCAGTCCCATGGTTCTCGACACAGGCTTCCCACCCAACAACATCCGTGCTTTCTGGAAACGTCTCTGGGATTCTCTGCAGAACTGGCATCTCTGAGGCTGGGCTAGAACAAGCCCCGAAGCGACCCAGACGTGTGTGATGCAGGGGAACCTTGGGTCCACTTCTTTTTCACCATCTCTCCCAGATCTGAGAGAGGTCCTGCCTTCATCTCTGACATGGAGACTTTAGACCTGGGGCCTCTGAGCACACAGAGGACAACCCTACCTGGGTGGTACCCGGGTGGCTCCAAACAATCGCAAAGCTGAGCTCTCCTTTTCCATCTGACCATACTGGAGACAGGGTGTCTTCAGATGCTCACCCAGTCGAGACGCAGCTGGACAGCAGACACTAGGGCAGGGACCTCGCTGCCATCCCCTTCTATCTAATATGTTTTTAGGTCACTTTACGTGACTGGCAAAGGATGTTGTTTTTCCATTCACAGTAAAGGGGAGTTTTCATCTTTAAATGAACTTACCACTGTGGTTTGAGTCGGAGGTGTCCCCCAGAGGCTCCCAGCTAGGAGTGCTAGTTTGAAGAAGTAGGGCCTGGCTAATTATGTCACTAGGGGTGGGCTTGGAAGGTCATGCCTGCTTTGAGTCCAGAGTGTTCTTCTGCTTCCTGCTTCATGTCACATGGTCATGTCACTCTGTAGGCCACCACCATGTCTTCCTTGCCATGATGAGTGAAACCCAGAAACTGAGAGCCCAAATAAATCTCTCTGCCCTTCCATTGACCAAGGAACATGATACACTTTAGCCCAAAAGGCAGTAATAAGGTCAGGCATGGTGGCATGCGGCTGTAAGTCTAGCACTCGGAAGGCTGGGATCTTTGCAAATTTGGTGTCAGCCTGGGATACATTCTGAACGTCACTACTTTGCAAGGATTAGATGACACCATGCTTGTAAAGTGTCACACAAATTACCTGCAATATGGTGACTTTCAGTTTGTGTTATCACCAGCATCACCACCATCACCACCATTGCCATCATCATCATCACCATCATCACCATCACTATCATTATCACCACCACCATCACCATCATCACCATCACTATCATCATCATCACCATCACCATCATCATCATCACCATCACCATCATCATCACCACCATCACCATCATCACCACCACCATCACCATCATCACCACCATCATCACCATCACTATCATCATCACCATCATCCCATCATCATCATCACCACCATCATCACCATCACTATCATCATCATCATCATCACCATCATCACCACCATCATCATCACCATCACCATCACCATCATCACCATCATCACCATCATCACCATCATCATCACCATCATCACCATCATCATCATCACCATCATCACCATCATCACCATCACCATCATCACCATCACCATCATCACCATCATCATCATCACCATCGCTATCATCATCACCATCACTATCATCATCATGCCCACCAACACTCATGACCCCTGCCATCTCCACCATCATCCACCCTCCCCCATCACCCCTACCATCATATCACCATCATATCCAAATCCCACTTCAGCCTCCAGATAATTATGACCATCCCTCACATATCAGAATAATCAGACCCAACAATTTTCTTATGATAGTGAAAAATGCACATGAGGGGCGATTAATTCCCAGGATGTTTTTTTGCAAGAAGTGAAGTGTTTCTATTCGTGGAAAAGCGAGTTCGGGCTTCAGGCGGGTGATCTCCAAAACGCGTGTTCATAATTATATCCTGCCAGCATCCTGCCTGCTGGGCAGCCTCCCGGGCCTCTAGGAACCCCACAGCAGCTGCAGAGGCTGCACCCATGGGTCTCCAGTTTGGCTCAACTGCTCGGAGAGATTAGCTCCGGCGTTACCCCTTGTGGTACCTATGTGAGTGGGGAGTCCCTGTTTTTCTGCATTTCATTCCGATCTTAGTTCATGACGCTGCTCCATGCCTGCACCATTTATTTCTTCCCACATGAGCCATCTCTCCCCTCAAACACAGGACTTCATCCACTTATTTGCTGTAGCTCCCTGGTACCAAGAGGACACTATTTCCAGTTTAGCTTGGGACTTGATCCACCACTACAACACAGACCCTCTCCCGAGGCCAGAGAGTCTGAGGGTCTCAGCAGAGAAAGAGCCGAGTCAGAGAAGTGGAAATTGTATTAGCTTGAGAAGACCAGTAGGCATCCGATGGCATCCTAGGTCTGTCTCAAGAAGAGCAGTTTGACCCGCATTCCTGTCTCCCAGGATGGAAGTCAGGAGACACGGCACATCAGAACTGAGCTCAGGCCTTTGCTGCTCACAGGCTCTGTGACCCTGGCTGAGCCTCACTTTCTCACTCTGTAAAATGGGGGGCACCCATCATTGCTACTGCTTAGGGTGATTGAGGAAACTGAGGGGACCAAGCAAAACACCCAGAACACTGCCTCATGCACCATGATCTGTCTCTGCGTGCGTCACCCTTCTCCTTTAGGGACAAAATACCTGACATGGGCAATTTAAGGAGAGGGCGTTAATGCCAGCTCAGTTCTGAGGGCACACTCCATCCCGGGGGGACGACATGGAGGTATAAGCCTGAGAGAGATGGATGCTGGGGCTCAGCTTGTTTTCCCCTTTGTCCTCAATCCAGAACCCCAGCCCACGGGATGGTGCTGTCCCCATTCAGAGTGGGTCTCCGCACCACAGTGAAACCTTCTGGAAACATCCACGGAGAACACATCCAGAGGTGTTTCCAAGTCGACTCTGAATCCAATCAAGGTGACAGTTAAATTAGGCCATCATTGCCCCCGAGTGTCAGCTCTCGCTGCTTGGAGGGTCGTGGTTTGTGAATCTGCCAGCCATCCGTACCTTTTAATGGCTTTCAACTACTCTATTCTTCCCAAATCAAACTCTGTTCTTTATGAAGATTCCTGACCACCAAAGTCGTTGTTCCTAACCTACACTATTATTATTTAAACACATCTATTTTCCATGCATGCTAAGCATGCTGTGACATTCTGATATGCATACCCAGTAAGTCATGATCACATCAGGGTTTCTAACCCATCCTGCATTTTATATATTATTTAAAGGGTCCCCTGTCACTATCCGCATATTACAGACAAGGAAACCTCAAGACCATATACGTAACTGGCTAGTTTACGAGAGCAAGGGCTGGCCATCCAGTAGGACCACAGTCATTCCTGCCGGACTCTGCTTCCCCTGGAACTTCCCATGCAGAGCACAGTGGTCTGTAGACCCTAGGTTCAGCCCTGACCCCAGACCAGAGCCATTTTCACTGCCTCTGCGACCCATCTACGGCTCTTCTATCATGCATCATTTCTGGAAGTGGACGGTGCCACTGGGTCTTTCTTTGGGTTGTGAGATTCTGCTCTTTTGGGGGTTAGGGAAGGAGAGAGAATGCACACCCCTAAAGGGTCGTGAGTCTACCCTTCCCCTCCCTTAATCTCTCACGGAGAGAAGAGCCCTAGGGTATCGTTAGTTATGCTGTCCCTGGGTACTCGGGTCTGAGTCATAGACTCATGCCCCACACCATTGTTT